ACACACACACACACACACACACACACACACACATACGCCAACGGAAACACACAAAGTGTGTATGCAACAGGATACATACATAAAAACCAAATTTAATCTCCACATTATTTAAATACCGATGTATGTGGTACAGAGTTTAGAAGCTTCGCTGTCGCATTCAGTAGAACCAAGTTCGAATCCCGAGTGGGAGAAGATTTCCTATTGAGTTTTCCGATCTTTCAGCTGGGATGTTGTATCCCTCTCAGCCCGGATTGGCTCTTAAACAGGCTTGGTCGAAAGCCTTCCTCCTAAATATAAAATTAGTTGCACATGATATGATATGATATGATATGATATGATATACATTCACCCATTGTATACATTTTCCCCTATCTATCCCCTTTAATTCATGTTCAATACCATATTCCATCACCCCCACCCAACATTCTCCGTATTTCCCCATCGCCCACATTACAATTACAATAAGAACAAAACCGCTCCAGTGAGTGGTATCCACTGAAGCATAGCGACAACAACCCATCCTCGTATTTGCATTGTTCACAAAAACGTTCGTTCACTCTCTCTTTCCCCTCTCTCGCAGCAGTTACCTCCTCTTTGCCGCAACAGGCTCTTCTCCCGCCACCACCACGCGCCAGAGTCACACACAAACGCTCGCGTCACCGATTGGCTGTACAGCAGTCACGTGAGCTTGTCAAGCAGCGAGAAGTGGGCGGGGATGAGAAAACGTTATTTTTATGCACCCTGAGCAAGCAGAGGGAATTATTTACTGCTGGGACAACGGAGATTAATGACTACCATGGCTTGTGTTGCTACCTTCCCTTGCCGAGCAGGAGATACAGTTTCAGTCTTGAACAAAAACACCAATTGCTCTAATAACGGTAGTTGTGGTGGTGGTGGTAGTAGCTGTAGCGGTAGTGGAAGCGGTTTCGGCAGTGTTGTTGTTTCTGGCGACGAGATAACTTCTTCTTGTGCTACTACTACAACTGCCTTGGAGAGGACTGATGATAAAGAAGCAATTATAGATAGATCGAGAGCACGTACAAATCTGGCTGAAAACAGCGAGGCCATTATCGTCGGGGAAGTGATCGCGAAAAGTGATGAAAGTAATTTCTTGGAGAAGGATTCCGGGGAGGTATCGTTGCTACAGAGGCCATACCGTGTTTCTCTGCAAAATCGTCAACTTCAGCGAGGGGGATTGTTGGAGCAAGAGGAGCAACAGCAACTGCAACAGCAACAGCAACGTCTTCAGGAAGACGGCCGATTCCGATATGACTATCGCAATAACATCGGTCTGTATTCCGCGGACGAGCTTGCCTGCTTTGCGTACCCGCCCCCAGAAACAGTGGGTGGAGGAGGAGGTGGAGGAGAAGGAGGAGGAGGAGGAGGAGGAGGAGGACGGGAAGGTACGACCTTTCCGGACATGCATGAACAAATGTCAGAAACGTTTTCCGACAGCGGTTGTGCTGACGTCACCGCCGGTTCTGAAAGCCGGATGAATGCAGAGTCACCTTATAGATCCGTGAGCGGTGGGGGTGGTGGAGGAAGTGGTGTGGGTGGTGGTGGTAGTCAGAAAGTGGGAGGATTCAATAGTGACAGCTGTAACAGCAATAACAGAGACAGTAACATCAGTAACACGTCGGAACCAAGCGGTCAGGGCTCCGAGCTCAACCTTAGTCCTAATCGAGGTCACAACAACAACAATCTTTGCCACAAGAACAGTGGATGCTCAACTTCTCTGGAGTTCAAAGAAGATTCAGATGATGACGACGACGAAGACGATGCAGACGACGACGAGGTAGGAGAAGAAAAGTCGAATTTTCAGGAGCTCCAGAACATGGAGCATCATCATCTGACTCCTCATCATTTTCTCGTGAAGGAACACCAGCAGCAGCAGCAACATCAGCAGCCCCAGTACGCTATGGCGGTCCACCCACACCCATCCCACCTTCACCAACGACTGAAAGTCTCTGTGGACACCAACCCTTCCGACCCATGCCGCTATAGTCCGGTACCTGACCCCTCCGGTCAGCTCTACGGCCTGCAGTCGGTCATGAATCTGTCTAGGTCTTTCCTCGGCCAACCTGACTCTCCTTTTATCCGAAGAGGTGATCGCGAACACGCCGTGAAATCAAGCACTGACAATAATAACGACGACAATAATAATAGCGATAATAACACCAACAGCATGACGAATCCGTCTGATGACATCCAAATGCATTGTGGGAACATGTCCTTTGAAGAGCGCGTGGGCCTGAACACGGACCACATTTATCCCAACATGCCTTTGGACTGTTCCTCCGCCGACCAACCGCACCAAAATGCCTTTCTCCTTCACGCAGACAACCAGCTGGCCAACCATCACCGTCCCCATCCTCATGAGCAACATGAGCAGCAACAGCAACAACAGCAACAGCACACGCGAGGAATCCCTCCTGCTCACGGCCTTGTCGTGGGAAAGGGTGTCCCTTCCGGCTCACCCTTAGAATACATTCAAACAACACAGCATCATGTTGCGTACCCTGCTCATCAGCAACAACACCTCCATACACCGCCAACCTCATTATCACCATCACCATCATCATCATCACCGCAACAGCACCATCATCATCATCATCATCATAACATTTTGCAACACCAACAACAACACCTTCTATCGCCCGATCACAGAAGTGACCAAAAGAATCTAAACATTCTTCATCATCAGCAGCACCACCAGCAGCAGCATCATCAGCTCCAGCACCAACAACAACACCAACAACGACATCACAACTTCCAATCCTCCGATCCGTCAGGATCTATTCCAACAAACATCCTTTCTGATCTCATTCCAGTCCACTATAACATCAACAACTTCCACAACCAACTTCCTTCAGATTCACCACAACACCACCAACAACTACAACAACAGCAACAGCAACAACAGCAACAACAGCAACAACAGCAGCCGCATCCATTCTTACAAAACAGCGGTGGTCACAGTCTTAATCTTCACAATGGCGATGGAGTTTTTCTGGAATCTTCCACAAAAGACAAGAAATCAATGGAAGGGATACACTGCGGTGTTGGGCCGTTTGGAGAAAGTTTAATGTCTTTATCAGAGATGGGAGGGGGCATGGGGGGAGGAGGAGGAGGTAGTGGAGGGCCTGGAGTCAGTCGAGGAGGAGATTCCACTTACGATAGCGCTGATGCCGGAGTTGACCACGAGCTAGGACTGATGCGTGATGGTCTAGGGTTCACATCCAGTGGGGACGACAAGATTCAGTCGGATTGTGGACCTAGACGGCCTCAGATTTATGCATGGATGAAGAAGTCACAAACTGGAAAGGGTAAGTCATAGTAATAATAATAGTAAAGATAACGATTATGAAGATAACAACAATAATAATAATAGTAATAATAATGATAATAATG